ATGCGAAAGCCGAGCCGATTTGGCGGGGCAAGCGAGCGGTCCGCCCGAGACGGTCCGAGGTCCAAGGACGTCGCTCGCGCCCGCCATCGCCCGGCATTGCCCGGTATCGGTAGCGTGTCTTCGACTGTCTTCGCGCGTGCCGCGCCAAGCCGCCAAGGTCACGGAGGAGTACCTTCAAATGTGTTAACCGACTCGGCCAGGGAAAAAAATCGGAGTTTTCCTAGTCTATTGATGTACCATAGTCAAAACCATTATTTCAACTTATGTACCAGTCAAAACCATAGTGCACGTAGAACTCTAAAATTTATTATGCCTATTTTTGGTAGTCGTTTTTCACTTTTTCGCATGTGACTCTATCCACAAACCATGTTTTTTTTGGAGCCGTCGCCTGAAATGTTGAATGATGAACAAAATGAGTCGGTTGAACTGTTAAATTAACGAAATGATCGATGTGTCTCACTGCTGCAAGTGAGTAGCAGGATGACGACACATGACGCGTCGCCGCGGTTTCCTCGACAAACAGAGTCGTTGTGCGCCAAACAGGGCGGTGCATCTGTACACTTCCTGGCGTTCGTGGAAATGCTGCAGCGCGGCAGTGTGTCATGCATAAGCTGTGCATCTAGGAATAGAGCGACTCAAGGGAGCAGGAGGAGGGGGAGGCTCTTGCAGGCGGCGGTGGAAGGGCACAAGGGGAGACAAAGTCCTCTTTTTTTTTTTTTTTTTTTTTTTAAATTTTCGTTTTTGGTCCGGAAGTTTGGACAGTACGAACCCAGGACCGAGAACCTGCACGTGGTCCGATTCTGACCGGTGACGAAAGTGTTTTGCACGCTTGTTTTGCGCGCTCCTTTTCTGCCTGCTGTTTGCCGCTAACAAACTCGTGGCCACCTCGTGCTTATCGGCCGGGGGGCCCGTTCGCAAATGAAGCGAGTCGCGGGTTCAAATCCCCTCACGCTGCCGCGGTTTTTGACTATATTTTCGAACTAGACCTCGTCCTGTGAGCGTGCCATGATACCTGTGCGGCCTTCGACACGAGCACACACACACACGTGCGGAGAAGCGAACGGAGGCCGTGTTTTGTCGCGGCCATTGTAACAATGCTTTGGGCCTAACGATTTTGCGGTCGGCAGCACAATACGGTCACGGCATAAACGAAGCGATAACGATGAAAAATATTTGATGCGCAGCAGATAAGGCAAGGACGTGTCCTCCAGGCGTCTGTTCGTGTGTGTGTGTGTGTGTGTGTGTGAGTGAGTGAGAGAGAGGGGGGGGGGGGTTGACGCGGGGATGAGTAGGCGACTGCTTGAGTTTCCTGCAAAATGACGTTTGAATATAGAGAAGAGAATTATTTTGCAGTGCGCGTGCGTCGCATGCGTTGCATGCGGGCGCCTTGCAACATTGGCCGTGCCGTTGTTCGCAGTCGTTGTTCCCTTTGAGAGACACGCCAATGTCACCCCCGGCATAACCGCGATTTATACTCCATTCAAACTTAGCCGATAGTGCGTAGCGTAGCGGTGCTCGCGGCGCCTCGAGACGCCTTGAGCAAACCGCGGGGGGGGGGGGGGGGGGGTCACCCACACAGCTGCGCGCTGCTTGGCAGGACTTACCCCCCACTTCCGGTCGTACGTACTCGTCGCGAGTGCGAGCGAGACGGAGAGCAACTCGCTATTCACGTTTTCAGTGAGATTTGTTCGGCGGTGCGATAAAAGAATTTAGAATGCTAAAATGCGGCTTCTATTTCTGATTCAAAAGGAGCGACGCCGCGCCCCGCCGGCGCCATGCGCTCCGTATGGCTTGCCCTTGGGGGGCTCAGGGTAGGTACACCCTTAGGTACAGCCTTTTATCCCGCACACTCACGCACACTCACGCACACTCACACATTCGTACCCCCCGCGCCCACAAAGTCGATAATAGACAGATATCGTGCACCACTTGAAGAAGGGGTCACCTCTGAGCAACGTTTGACTTTTGTTCTGGCCGTCCACCTGACACCACATGGCGGGCGGGGCGGGGCGGGGCGGGGCGGGGCGGGGGGGCGGGGCGGGGCGGGGTGGCGGCAACGAGACGGCGGGGCCCTAACCTTGAGTGCGGTCACACCCTTGCTGACAAGGCGTGCCGCGCGTCCGGCGCGGCGGGGTGGGGTGGGGTGGGGTGGGGTGGGGTGGGGGGGTGGGGGGGGCGGGGCGGGGCGGGGTGCGGCGAAGGGCGAGGCCCACCTTGGAAAGGGCATGCATAGCTGAGCGTGTTAGTTCTTGCCGCCTTCCGCTGGTTAATAAATAACAGGGCTAATGTCCGGTCTAAGCCTTTGGCCGAAGCTCGGCCGCGGCTTGACCAGCGTTTGGCGCCGGGGGTGTGGGCAGGCCGGGCAGGCAGGCGAAGCCAACGACCCGGTCGCACAGTGGGCCAGAAGACCGGTGGAGGCGGCCAAAACTCCAGACGCGTTTTGAGCTCCAGAGTCGCTAAATGGGACTCGAACCAACGTGTGACCCCACCAATGGATTGCTCTCCGAACGAGGAATCGATTGATGGGGTCACACACTCGGTTCGAGTCCTGTTTAGCGACTCTGGAGCTCAAAACGCGTCTAGAGTTTTGGCCGCCTCCACCGGTCTTCTGGCCCACTGTGCGCCGGGACTCTCCACACCATGGTGTAGCACTCTGCAGAGTGCTTGTCGCAGCACGCCGCTGCACGTGCAGCAATGCCTCGGGCCCGACGGCGGGCTTCCCCTGCAACAGTCTTATCAGACGACTTTGTCGTCGATAACCCTTCAGTCGTCGCCGAGGTGCAGTCCGCCGGACGCGGCGCGGCCAGCACGCGCCAACTTTAATTTTTTTTTCTGCACTAGGATGTGCATACTCTCGTTTTTTTGCCCGCCCCGAATTATTCGCTTTGCTAATCTGTGCTCGGCTCGGCCCGGCCCGCCTCGTGGAGATTACTTGTCAGGCGGCGGGGACGTGCTAGAGTCGAGCCGCCTGCCGGGCCGCCGGGCCGCCAGATAGCACTCCAAGGTTCAAGTTCAAGTTCGCGTGCCGCGCAGTGGCCCCGCCAGCCCGCCCGCCCCGTGCGAGGCTGGTCCAGGTTGCCGATGGGCGATGCGATGGGATGCACGCTAGCGTACGCTGTGGTGTCGCCCGCTTTGGAAAACACGCCATTTGATGACTGTCCACGCGAGTAATTACGACGTCTGTTTCGATTTTATCCGCCACGTCCGGCGGTGATCCAGGGTTTACACAAGTCTGAAAAACCAGGGAAAGTCGGGGAAAATAATTTCTGATAATCTAAATAAATTTTAAAGTTTTCCGTGCTGGGACGGATATTTTTTATAGATTTGGTTTTTGAGGTGGAGTCATCCTGTTGGCTGCTCTGCCTGATGCGTTCTTTCGGGCGCCCTGGGTGTCCGCTTCGCCTGTATGCCGAGTTTCCCGTTTCTTCCATTGGCGATCGCGTAAATCCGCGGATTCGGTGCCCCGGCCGCCGCCGCCGGTTCGCGGGCCGCGGTCGCGGAGTCGCGGTCTGGAGGTCGGGTCGGCCGTCGCCGTCACCGCGGAGGGGGAAGAGGGGGAAGAGGGGGGCGGAGGGGAGCGGAGCGCTCAGCCCAAGTCCAAGGCCGGTCTCTGCCCGTGAACCTGTTGCCGCGCGGTGGGGGAATTTCCCCTCATTTCCCTCGTGTGTGTGTGTGTGTGTGTGTGTGTGCGTTCGTCTTCGGAAAACATCAGCGCAAATATACCCCTTTGTGCCCGACCGCGGTCACGGCCGCCAGCGTGTGTGTATGTGTATGGAGGGGGAGGGGGTGTTTGCGAGAATGCGTGCGTCGGTGTGTATGTGTGTGTGTGTGACCCCGGCCGGCCTCGACGATGTATGACCAAAACAATGTTTTGTACATTTGGAGGGCACAAAAATAAGGCCAATGACATACCCCTATACGCGAACCCTCCCCCCCCTTCTCTTTCTCTCTCTCTCTCTCTCTCTCTCTCTCTCTCTCTCTCTCCCGGGGGGCGGTGGCCGCGCAATGGCCGTCGAGACCCCCGAGAACTAAGTGGAGGAGGTTCGTTATGAGTGTCAGCGAGGGTTATCGGGAAGTCCATTCGGGTGAACAACCGGCGCAGCGCGCAGCGCGCCGCCGAGACGCAGCTGTGCAAAGTCTTTAGTCGCCGGACGGGCCAAGCGGCACCCAAGACGCGTCCACACTGATCGGAGAGCTCATGCATCCTCGTTCGGAGAGCAATCCATTGGTGGGGTGAAACGTTCGGTTCGAGTCCCATTTAGCGACTCTGGAGCTCAAAACGCGTCTAGAGTTTTGGCCGCCTCTACCGGTCTTCTGGTCCACTGTGTGTCGAGGCGCATAGACAGAGGGGGTCCATCGTCCTTCGCGCCTGTAGCAACACGGCCAGTTTCCCTTTCGTCTGGCCGCGACACCGCGAGTCGTCCGTCACGTACGCGGACGTCTCGAAAATGGCGATACGTACCCAAGGCTGCGACGGCGGGCCGGCCATCTCGCACGGGTTGTTATTCACTCACTCGTCGCCGTATTTGTTTTTCAAATTTGGCCGCCCTGCGTTCGTCCGGACAAAAGCCGGAGGCCGCGCCGACGCCGCCCCGGGCCGAAGCGAAGCGCGCATGCTCCCTCCAGCCCAACAGCCGAAGCCGGTGTCGGAAGGCCAAAAGGCAGTGTCGCCAACACGCCACTGCGAACGCGGCACCGCGCGGCACGCGACCATGTACACGCCGAGACCCGCCGAGACCCGCGGGTTGACTCCTGTTCCGCGTCCGACGGGACGGGACCGCCTTTTCACAAGGAAACTGCCGGCCACCAAATCCTTGCCCCTTCCACGGTGTGGTAGTTATAGTACATTGCACTTGCCGCGCCCTGCAGCCACTTTCCTGACCCCAACCCAAAATCATGTGAAGCTCACCCCCCTCAAAATACTTAAATAAGGAAACAATAAATGAAAGAATTCAATTTTTAAAACGACGAGAAATATTTTAGAAAAATTAGCTTGGATCATGGTGAGCGTCGTGTCGAAAGTTTGCGACGCCTAAAAACGCGTGACTTTTCATGTGCAGTGGTGTATCTCTAGACGCGCCGCACTCACACATGTTTATGACACACACGTACCTCCGTGGCGCCGGTAACGCTTGCTGACGTCGACGTGGTACAGTACTCGCGGCGCGCCGCCGCACGGCGCACCAAGCGGGCAAGTGCAAGGTCGCGGCCGGTCTGTCTGTCTGTCCGTCTGTCTGTCCGTCTGCCGGGCTGTGCGCCGCCGCTGCGCTGCCGCGTGACAAATCACTTGCTAATTTTACCGCCAGCCTTGACCATCACGCCGATCGCCTGCCGCCTGGAGGGTAGGCCGCCGTCGGCCCACGCCGCGCACCGCACAGTGGGCCAGAAGACCGGCCAGGGGCGCGGCCCGGACCGCCAGGATGACGCTGACGGGAAGCTCCACGGACACCCACGCCGCGTTGCGTCGAACGAGACGGAATCGATTTGTTTGCCCGCGCGTGTGACCGCATGGAGTCTGCCTTCGGAAATTCCCTGAAAATAAAGTTTCAAGGCCTCCAGGCGTCGTCGCCGTGCCTGTGTGCGCCGCGCGGCTCGGCGGCAGGCACGCCGGGATGAGGCGCGCAGCGTCGCCGCGGGCCGAGAGAGACGGAGAGAGAGCGACAGAGCGCCAACAGCGTTCGGGATGGCGAATATCGCGCCTCCCTTATCTCGCACTTACTCCATGCACGTCGCAAACAACGGGGGTCGGCGCAACCTGCTCAAGCCGCGCTGACGCACGCCTGTTTTCTCCAATCTGGAGGGCGGCTGTTTCTGTTTGCTGTCGGCCCTGGTTTTGTTTGACGTCGCGCTGCAGGGGTGAGTTCTGAATTTTTGGGCGTGGGTTCGATACCTGCCATTGGCAGCGGCGTGGAAAGTGACCCGACGCAGTGACCTGGCGGCCAGGAAGATCAGGGCCGTGGTGTTGACCGGGACACCCACCCCGCCGCCTCGCCGCCGTCGGACTTTGATGGAAAGAGGAGACGGCGACGACGACGGCGACGGCGGCGGTCCTCCCCTCCACGACTTCCGAGAGTGTGCCGGCAGGCCCGCCAGGCCCGCCGACCGGCGTAGTGTGGCCCGCGGCCTGTGGTGGGCCTCCCAATGACTGAACGGCTGGCTGACGTGGAGCCGAGCCGCCTGACGGCCCAGCGGCCCGGCGGCCCGGCGCGGTCGGCAAGGTCAAGTTAATACGCGACACTGCGACACCAAATGTACCATGAGACACTCCGCTGCTCCGCGCGCTGCGCGCCACGCGCGTCATGGCAGCCGCGGGGCCGCGGGGCCCGGCCGCCACACTACAGTATCGAGCTTGGAAATTCGGTGGTCGTGTTTCCACGCGCACCGCCGTGCCGCCGTGCGCCGCCGTGGTCCTGGCGCGGTGGCGGTGGTTATCGGTCTCAAGGTCGTCGCGTTGGTGATAAGGGCGGACCGCGAACCGCGGCGGCAGCTTCGCGAAGAGCCTCGGGACCTCCACCGCCACCGCGACCACCGCGACGCCCAGGGTGTGGCGGCACCTGGACTTTAGGACCGCGATTACGAGGCTCTTGAGGCGAGCTGGGCTCAGCGCTCTCTCTCTCTCTCTCTCTCTCTCTCTCTCTCTCTCTCTCTCTCTCTCTCTCTCTCTCGCGGTGCGATGACGCGTTGGCGGGGCCCACGTATTTGTCCGCGGATGGATTTCCTTTCGATAAACAACCATTTTCGCGCCGCGCGGTGGCGCCAAGGTCTCTTTGAGCCTGCCTGTGGCGGCCTGTGGCAGTGTGGTGGCCTGTGGCTCCTCGGCCTGAGCGAGCCGTGCCTTCGGTGAGCGAGCCGCGCGGGCCACGAGCACCGGGGGTCGGGTTCAACAAACACACGCCCTCTACACGTGCGCCGGCCGCGGCCCGCCGGGGCTCGCGGACTTTGTCGAACACGACAGGCGTCAGGGCGTGAGGCCGTCAGGGCCCGTCTGGGCGGAGGATGGGTCTTCTTATCTGGCCGCACCTGTCGCGCTGCTGCCCCGCACCCCGCCCCGCCATGCCCCGCCCCGCCCCGCCCCGCCCCGCCCCTCCACGTGCGTGAAATTGAAATGACGCGCTCCTTGATCCGGACGCAGACGCCCACTCGCTCCAAATTAAACGGAGCGGGCACGCGCGGCTGGACGCCTCGCCCCGCCCCGCCCCGCCCCAACCCGCCCCGCCCTCCCTCGCCCCGCCTAGCGCCGTGTGAAAAACAGGCTTCGTTTTGTTTGCACGTCCGCGGGGACTATACGGCGCGGCGGCGGCTAGCGGTCCGGGCCTCAAGACGCGCCGTGCCGCGCCGCGCCGTGGGCAAGGCCAAGGACGCCACCAGCCTCGCCTGCGCCGCCAGCAGCGCGCCGAGCCGTGCTTCCTCGGTTCCTTCGACGGCATTTCTTTTTGTTGGGGTGGAGCACACAGTGGGCCTAGACTGCGGAGCGGGCTGGCGGGCCGAAACGCCTGCAGTGTAGGCCATCCTGCGCAGGCCTGTGGAGCAGGTGGCCTATCCGTGCCCGTCGGGCGCTAAGGGGCGCGCCACTGTGGGGGAGGGTGCAGACACTCACACAGACACGCACTCGTTGGCGCCACAGGCCGGCTGAAGCCAAGCAGTGTGGTGTGTGTGTGTGTGTGTGTGTGTGTGTACGGTCGGCGCCGTGACAGAGTCCGGAACAAAAGTCAAGGTCTGTCGTCAAAGCGGTGTGATGCGCGCAAGGCTGGTAGACTGTCCTCTTCCTTCTCCCCCCCCCCTCCTTTCCCGTTTCCCCTCGTCCCTCCCCGCCGAACGAGCATACCTTTGCACCACCAGCGCCATGAGCGTGCTTCATGGTAATGTACATCTAACTCGGTGTGCTAATACAGAGTCGAATGCTATTTAAATTGGGGGCCTCGCGGCTTGCCATTGGTGGACACCCCCCCCCCCCTTTCCTTTTCCCCCTTCTTCCTCCCACGGTGGCGCCGCCGCTCACACGTCTTCGGGAGCGTTCGCTTTGACATTGCCATTCATTGCCGGCGTTTCGTCCAAACAGAAACTTTGCTGCATTACGTAAAAGAGTTATGTAAAGCGCGGAGTCGCACTATGGGCCCCCGGGCTGTGGGCCGCGGGCTGGGCAGCGCTTCGCGTCAGTCGCGTGGCGTGGCGCGGCGTGGCGCGGCGTGGCGTGGCGTGGCGTGGCGTGGGACCTCGGTCGGCTAGACAGCCCGGTGCATCGGTTCTCACGAACCCTGTGTGCGGCCGGTGCAGGGTTCGCCGAAGTGTCGGATTGGTCAAAGGGGTGCTGAGAGAGGGAGAGAGAGGAGAGAGGAGGAGAGAGGAGGAGAGAGAGAGAGAGAGAGAGAGAGAGAGAGAGAGAGAGAGAGAGAGAGAGAGAGAGAGAGAGAGAGAGAGGTTGCAGGGCCCGCCACGTGCCGGTCTTGCTGGCTTCGCTGGCTCCGCAGGCTTCGCTGTATCAGTTGTTCCTGGGGTCCGAAATACACCGAGCGGAAAGTTTGTGCGGCGACATTGTGGTGTGCCACGTGCTCGCGAAAACCCGCCGCACCGACGCCAATATCGCGGCTTGCAGTGATGTCCCCTCGTTTTCCTCTTCTCTCTCTCTCTTTTATCAGAACTAATGAACGGACTGCGTGTTTCCGGGACCCGATGCCGCCGTCGTGATAGGCTTCCCTTTTCGACCTTCACCGTGAACTAGACGCCCCCCCCCCCTCTCCTGCCTGCCTGCTATCAAGGCGATAGGCCGCCGAGGGCGGGGATTTGGCGCGAAAAGTGAAATAAAGCAAACAGATTAGCGCGCCGAAAAACAAGGTGCTCCACCTGCACCCGGGACCAGGTGATAGTGGGGTCACCTACAACCGGCAAAAAAAGAAAAGGTTAGGTTTGCCACGACTTCCCCTCAGTTGACACCAGTTCAAGGCAATCAAAGGCCTTGGAATGTGACCGTCTCTCTTTCATTCTCTGTGCGGATAAAATGGCCATTTTAAAATTTTTGCCCTGTATCGTCGCAGCGAGTAGCTTCTTCCGCCGAAGTCCGTTTCCGTCGATGATGTGGAAAAACAATACCGCGCGCTCCGTTCCACTGCGAGTTCCACTGCGAGTTCCACTCCGGCCGGCCGGCCTGTCGCCGAGTCGCAGTGCAGCCGCGCCGCGCCGCCCCAAGGTGACTTTAGAGCACCGCTCTTAACCTTCCTCACGGGGGCTTTCATTAAAATTTACAAATCCGGGAGGAGCGCACGACGGGCCCGTCCCGGGACGCGGCTCTGTGAGCTAGGCGGTCAACAAGTGGCCCTCGGGTGCCATGGCAGACGACAGGCAGGCAGACAGACAGACAGACAGACAGACTTAGGGAGACGACAAAAAATACCCTGTCTTGCTGTACATAAATGTATCATCTGCTCAAAAATTTTTGGCCGCCTGCACCGATCTTCCGGCCCACTGTGCGCCCGCCCCGCCGTGTCTGCCTGCCTCCAGGCGGCGCACCTCGTCGTGCTGATTCACACGCCGCGCTTGACGCGGCCCGGCGCGGCTTGTGTCACCGCAAACAAAATAATCGGACTGGGGATTCGTTACCTTGCGCAATCGCGTGGCCCGCGCAAGGTCGAGCGGCGTGTGTGCGGAGCGGAGCCAGAGCGCTGTATCGCCGAGGACGCCGCCGAGGACGCCGCCGAGGACGCCGCCGAGGACGCCGCCGAGGACGCCGCCGAGGACGCCGCCGAGGACGCCACCGAGGACGAGGCGACCTTGTGGGTGCCGGGCGCGGCCGGGCGCGGCGCCGACGGGTGGCGGTTGGGCCTGATGGCTGAAGGGCAGACGGCGGCAGACGGCGGCAGGGGGTACTTGGGGTAGGTCGCGGCGGGTCGCGGGGGCGGACAACGCGCCGCGCGGAGGGGTGGGTGTGAGGGTACCTCGGGTACCGGGCCAAGTCGATCTCGGGGTACTTCGGGTGCGTTGCCTCGGTGGGTAAGCGATCAAAACGATTCCCCGCTCCGTCTCAGGACAACACGCCGCGTTTTACCCTTGAGCTCCTCGGCGCCAGGCTCCGTATTCAGATGAGCTCCAATGTCATATTGCCGAGTATTGTCTCTGTTGCTGGCGGACGGGCTCACTGTAAGTCAGTGTCCCAAAAAAGTATTAGCAAGGCCTTGTTGCTATCAGTCACCTCCCTGGAGGTCATTCAGGTATAGTGTCGCTAATTACGCCGAGGACAAAAATGGACTGGATGAGATTCCGAGAAGAAGCCATAACGTCTGAACAGCTAATTTCCTCTCTCTCTCTCGAAACGATCCTTCGAAATCAGTCTGCGGGGACCGCCGGGGGCCGAACTGTAGGGATGAGGACAAAGCACTCAAGGGCGTGCCTCTGAGTTTCACGCTTGCTGTTTGCTTGGCATGGGGGGGACCACTGGGAGCCCAGACCGGGCAGCGAAGTCAGCAGGTTAGGCCGAATTTTCCCTGGAAATAACGAAACCGTTTTTATCTTTTACACTTTTAAACACGAAATAAAAACGTGAAGAAAGCGCTGGGATTTGAACGCAAGGGTTTGGGGTTCCTCGCAACACGGTTTTTCGTATTCCAGTTTGAAAGCCATACAACGAGGCGAGGCTTTCGTGCTTCCGCGTTGGTAGCGCGCCTCTCTTCGCTGATTGGTTTGTCACGGTCGGAGTGATACTCCGCAGTTGTTACAAGGTCGATTTGCCCGGCGCATACACACTGCAGGCCAGGCGCGGGTAGTACAGGGGAGGGGCGGAGGGGTTTTTACCCCTCCTCCGTTTACTGTGTCGCCGTGAATTTCGCGTACTGACGCTGTCCTTTTCTCTGTGTCGCAGGGGCTTCGGCAAGCAGGGCCTCCAGTGCTGAGGTAAAACACCGCGACGCCACGCAGTTCTGCGCGCTGCGGGACATCCTGGGAGACCGGCTTCCAGCTAGGTATGCGGTTCAAGAAAATATTTCAATTAAATTTCTGCAAAGAGGTTCATCGGTGAAACCGGAAACGCCATCCACCTTGCCAGCGTTTTGTTTCTTTTTTTTTCCTTTTCAGGGGAGGTTTCTTCAAACTTCGGCTGCCGCGGCCACGTATGCTGATTGGCACGTTTTGTTGTCAATCCGCCGCCACACTGGAGTTCGGCGAAGCCATGGCGAGGCCGTGTCCGACGTGAGCAATCAACAAGTAGTCGCCTGGCGATAGCTCACGGCGGGCCAGCCGCAGCCCGACTAGCAGACGACACTGCCGACGACAACGACGCAAACTGCAGCGAGCCCATTGTCATTGCGATAACCGCTCCGACGTTCGATTGACGTGGTGCCGAACATGCAAGGTGTCGCCAAGGACACAGGATGTTTGCTGCATTGCTCGGGCCCGGCAGGCCCGGCACACAGTGGGCCAGAAGACCGGTGGAGGCGGTCAGAGTACCGGACGGGTTTTGAGTTCCAGAGTCGCTAAATGAGACTCGAACCGAACGTGTGACCCCACCAATGGATTGCTCATTCACAGGGCAATCCATTGGTGGCATCGCGCGGCCGGTTCGAGTCCCATTTAGCGACTCGACCTCGAAAAGCGTCTAGAGTTTTGGCCGCTTCCACAGGTCATCTGGCCTGGCCCACTGTGCGGGCTGGGGTTCGACACCACCCAATGTCTTTATTTTTGGGTGGGTTGGTAGCCTCACTGTCTCGCCCCGCTTTCTCGCGGCACCCGTTGTGGGTGCCGCAATGGCTGCAGTCGTTGCGTTAAAGTACACTGCCAAATTCACGCTGAAAATCTACGTGCCATGTCTCTTTCAACCGGTTGTTCAAATCCCAGTTGTCGTTTCCGAGAGGAGGTAGGGGCGTGTTTCGCTCCGCAGCTGACCCCTGGCCGGGCTGCATTGCTGCATTTCGGCGCGGATTGGGACCGAAGTGGAAAGTGGTGACCTCCTTCGCGGGGGTGGCTGTCGCTGTTGCCTAACGGAACGTAGAATGTGGGCGTGCGTGGCGAGAGGGTTGAAAGAGGGTGCCACGCAATACACGTGTGTGAGTGTGTGTGTGTCGGCCCGTGCGCTACTTTCCCTTCACGGGGCGCCGCCCTTCCCAGAATGCCACTTGGTTGTCGGCTTTGGCGGACGCAACTGCAGTGGAAAAACGGTGCAGTGGCACCCGGGTGGAAGGATCTGCAGTTCAAGTGTAGTTTGAACTCAGTGGAAAAACTGCAGTATTGGAACAGTACTATGGATTCAAAAGTAACTGCAAAAGTATTAGAGTTGAGAACCTCAATTCATGTGCATTTGTCACAGACTTTAAACTAATAATAAATTGTTCTCCTGGTCTTCAGCCTTACTACAGAGCGCCTCTGCAGAAGGATTTCAGTTTTGACTTAGTTTAAATTATAGTCACTACAATAGATATGAAGTACAGAAGTAAGTGCAGTTAATGATTAGTTCTGAGACAGTTAGACTGCATGATAGTGTCGAGATTAGAGAGTGCAGAGAATCTGAAGAAAAACTGCAGTTTTAACTGAGTTTCCCTGCTAATGCCACCGGCACCAGGCCTTATTATGTGGTCACGTTGGGTGGATCACCTTCCCAGGCAGGCGGCGTAGACCAGTGGGTAAGGCACTTGATCCGCAACCAAAAGGTGCGAGGTTCGATTCCCCGCAGAAAATCTGATTTCATCATCAGACAATAAGGAAGCTGACCATGGAAGGTCGAAGGGGGCAGTAGAATCTGACAGAAGTAGGAAAATTGAACGTTCAAATTCATTTTTAACACGTATTTTTAATACTACACTTTAATTTTATTCTTCCTTTAAGTGAATTCTGTAGGTGTAACTATGATTTCACTGCAGTGTGAAATTGGTATAAACTGTAGTCAAAACTGTAGTTGGGCGAAAAAACTGGTACTTTTTCTGCAGTTTTACTACACTTTTTGTACAAAATTCTATAGTCTTTTTGTAGAAATTTACGGTTACAGAATAGTTTAAACACAGAAAAATCTCGGCTTTTCTTCCACTTTTTTTATAATTCACAGTTACTTTAAACACAAAGTTAAGTTCAGTAAAACGCAAGTGAAGAAGTGCTGTTTAGACTGCAGATCCTTCCACCCGGGCAGCACCACTGCTTTTATTCGATTTTGTGCCTTTTCTTAAAATTCTGAAATTTTTTTTTCACTTTTTTTTCTATTTAAGGACTTGCGACGACTCCGCTTGGCCGCTCTTTACGACCGTTATCACTGCGACCACAATGCATGGCCGGCCTGCGTCAACTATAGTGCAGCCCCCCGCCATGGGCTGCCGTAGGCTGCCCTATGCTGCCATGGGCTGCCATAGGCTGCCATAGGCTGCCATGGGCTGCCATAGGCTGCCCTAGGCTGCCATGGGCACCCACGCTCTAATACCACCGACCTGATTTATTTTTCCGGGCCGAACTAAATCAACCCCCTCCTCCCTCTCTCGACACACAAAAGAAAATGAGAATATATCCCTTTATGCCCTTGTCGCGGTTCCCTGGGCTGCCCGGGGCTTCCCCCGCAGACCTTGGAGCAAGCGGCCGCTTGGCAACCGATAGGGAGAATGGCCAGTGTAAGCTTGCTCACCCACAACTCTTTACTGAGTCCATTGGTGGGGTCACACGTTCGGTTCGAGTCCTGTTTAGCGACTCTGGAGCTCAAAACGCGTCTAGAATTTGGGCTGCATCCACCGGTCGGTGACGGCTGCGCTCCGCCCGCGCCGCGCCCAAGGACGCGCTCTGTCGCCGGCAGCCTGGCTGGCTCGGCCCCGCGAGGTGCGGCCCAGCGGCCCACGAAATGTCGCGTCGTCGGTTGCAAAATGCGGTGATAAAGGCGCGGCTTGAGGCGGATTAGGGGTCCCGACGTACCAGCGGCCGCGGCCAGCCGGCGGCGCTAGAGCACGCCAGAGACTCGGCCGCCACGTGCGAGTTCGTGCAAGCCAGCGATTACTTTGGACATGGTCGCCCTGCCTCCTCAGCTCGGGCTGCAGTCGCAGTGGGAGGAAGCTGGTCGAAAAAGCAAGAAATCGTTTGGAATCGATCTTCGGGCCGACTGGCTAACCCAAGGGGCTGTACGAGACTAACAGTGCGGAGGCGTCTGCACCCGACCCTGGGCGTGCAAACCTCTAGCTCTCCGCACTCATTTGAAAACGTTTTAAAATGTGTTTTGCGTGGCGTGGTGGTGCGTTGCTGTGTGGCGGCAACCTGCACGCAGGGGTTTGACCCGCGTGGGCCAGGCCGAGGGCCAGGCTGTGGCGTGGCCATGGCGTTACCGGTGTGCTCGCTCGCTGCCGCACGCTGCGCGCCCAAGCCGGCCAAGCCACGCCGGCGTCGCCTGATCGGCCTGGCGGGCCTGGCTGGGCTGGGTGGCCGTCGTACAGACCGGGATAGGGGTGACCTTGCTCTTGACCGTCGTGTAGTTGGCGCGGCGAGGGCCCGCCGTGCCTCGCGGTGCCGCGCGGTGCCGCCACGGCCGCTGGCACCACCTCTTCCACTGCGGCTTATGCAAGTGCGGCATGGTGACGTTGTCTGGCCGAAATACGGTGCAAGGCCAAACATCACGTGTCCGGCCAGCGCGGCCCGTCCGCCCGCCCCGCCAAATCGGCCTGCAAGGCCCGGTGCCCCGCGGTGGCCGTACAGGACCATGCCGATCCTTCTAGACGGCGGCCACGTGCCTACACCTTGCGCGCTTTGGCGGCTTTGGCCATCCCCGTCTGACGGCATGCCGCGGCCCGCGAGTGCATCATTGTCGAGGACGCCGTCGAGGACCCAGGCGTTGCGCCATGCGGCGTGCGACATCCGTGGTCTAGCGGCCAATTAGCTGACCAACTTTATGTCTGACTTGGTGTGACTGCGGCGCCGACTCGGGACGCCGAGGACCGGCGTTCAACTCCCGCCGTTTCTGAACTTTGTCTCACTCAAGGTGTGGAGGCATTGGTCTTTGGTGACCGGCGGTGCATTGCAGAATGTTCGTTCACCTTCTCTTGCCTACTTCACGCGAGCCGCGATCGTGTTTTTGAGGGTGTACGTTGTTTCTCTCACTCAGCACCGAGTGATCTGCATTTTTTCCTCACTGCGCGTAAATCTCAGGTTTGCTTTATACTCGTATTTTTTTGTTTTCTTTTCTTTTGTTCTTGGTACTGTAATGCTCGCGATATCAATTCCTCTTTTCAATCGAGTTTTTTTTTTTTTTTTTTAAATGGTGAAGGGTATGTTTGTAAAAGACAAGAGATAAAGTTTCTTTTTGTATTTCATCAGGTTTATTCTGACGACTCCTCACTCCCAAGCTTACAAAACATTTTTACAAGCACACTCACATCGCTTTTACTTGTGACACACACAGCCTGTAGGGCAGGCCCAACTACCGGCCCACACTAGAGGCTAGGCTGCCTTCACTGGGGACTCTCGATCTGTTGACCAAACAATGCCATGCCGGCGTTGCATGCATATGCATGTGCAAGGCCGGTCTGGTACGGCGTTTCGACCTGTGTAGTGAAGGCTACTCTCCAAATTATTACACTAATAATAATTATAAACAAGCAATTGTTTGGTCAACAGATATTGCAATAAATAATATATTTTATAAATGCGAAAAAATTTGCTTACTTTATAATAATTCCTGCTTTTCTTGAGAAAGACAAAAATGGTTAAGACTACTATGGTAGGGTAAGAAAGGGAGTTTAAAATTTCATGTCAGTTACTTTTCTTAGAAAAGACAATGAAACAAAAATTATTTAGCCTCTCTACTAAATGATGGGATTGCCGACCGAGTCAAACGTACTAGTAAATACGCATTGCATCTAATATTATTTTATATAAAACAACAACAATTACAGAGGCACGCGTGAGCTCGCAGGCTCAAAGTGACTCAGGATACGTAGGAAGTCACGGCCGTCGGAGTTTAGACAATTGAATAGATTAAATATTGGAGCGGTGTTTGGGGTGATGACTAACAACTAGACACTGATACAGACGCCTAAAGCTACAAGTACATACGATACAGCAACCACGACATTTTTTTTTTCAATCATTTCCGGGTGCCGTTGACTTCCCTCAGTCTCAATTTTCCTCATACGATCGTTGAGGTTGGTTTTAATCTAACACCTTTCTTATATGCATGTACAGAAGGAGAAGAAAAATTAACATTAAATGAATTTTCTTTACAAATTCGAAAAAAAAAGATGTACAATAGACTCAACAAACTTTACACAAATAAAAAAAATGCAATTCCTACATTGAATTATATCACATATAATGAATATTATTTAGGATTGATGCTGGACGAGGCCAGGCTGAGGGCCCACCTCGCAACACAGCAACACTATACATAGACTTAAAACACACGTAGAATTAAGAAATAATAAATTATTTGGTTCTTAATACAGTTTAAAAGTGGCACCTTCGAAGAGAGTGATATGGACGCCCCGAGTGGGGCGCACAGGCATCCAATCCGCGACCCGCGACATGAAGCGACTGTTTGTACCACTGTACTTTGTACTATTCACACTTGGCGGTAACGACGCCGCACGCCCTAGGCTTCTAACGACACCACTTTGTGGGGGGTGGGTTGTGGCGCCGAGAGGGGCCGGGGGGAGGGGGATGGTGACTTCTTTGAAAGGTTGAGCGGCTGCGAGTTGGCGGCGAGGCCCACCTGCAGCTCCACCAGCTTGGGCGGGTGCGCGGCGTGCGGGCTGCCGAGGTGGCCGTGCGCTCCGTGCGCGGCGTGCCCGGTGGAGGACGGCGAGCAGGCGGGACTCCTGCTCAGGTATATCCTGGACAGCTCGGCGCCGGGCTGCGTGGGGGGTGGTGAGGGGCTGCTCGTCGAGTTGGGGGCGAGCGGCGACGCGTACGCGAAGGGCGACGCGGGCGAGGCCGCCGAGGCCGCCGAGGTGATGACTCCCGAGGAGGCGGAGGCCGAGGCGGGCCACCGCTGCTGCTGCGCGTGGGGCGCGGGGGGAATGTAGTGGTGGTAGGTGTCCGTGTGGCCCGCCATGATGTAGTTGTGGATGATGTCGGTGCGCTTGAGCTGCTCTGCAGTCATGCGGGGCCCCTCCATCAGACTCCTGGCCAGCGTGGAGTGCGTGCTGGACAGCGAGGACGTGAGGCTGGCCTGCGACGCGGGCGGGGCCGCGGCGGCGGACACGTGCACGGCCGCGGGTGAGCGCGCGGGCGAGGCGACCACCATGGGCTCGGCCTCGGCCGAGTCCTTGTGGCGCAGCGCGCGGAACTTCTTGTGCGGCTTGTAGGCCTCGTCCATGAGGGAGTTGGTGTCGCAGAGCGGCGGCGCCTGCAGCACCCGCTTGAGCACGGGCATGTCCTCCACGTGGCTGGGGTGCGAGTGCTCGTCCTTGTCCTCGAGCGACGACCGCGGCGACGAGCAGACGGACGTGGGCGCCGAGTGCGCGCCCAGCTTGTCCAGCTTCTCGGTGCCGGACTCGATGCCCGAGTCGCTGGGCGAGTCCAGCTTCCTGGGGAACCGGTGGTGGGCGATGGGCCGGCCGTGGCCGAGCGCGGCGGACAGCGACATGGCGTGGTGCTGGTTGTCGTCGTCGCCGGACGTGGAGCCCGAGTTGGCGCGGTGGCGGTGCGGACACACTGCCAGCGTGCCGGCCAGGGTGGCGGCCAGCAGCGGCGCCGAGGACGCGTGGCTGGACTGGTGGTGGTGGCCGTGGTGGGCGTTGGAGTACGGGCTGTCCGTCAGCGAGGCCACCTCGCCGGAGCACACCGACTCGGAGCTGGACACGGAGCCGAGCGGGCTCTTGACCACCTCGTCCATGGTCACGTCGGACGCGGAGGACCACGACGACGAGCCGGCGGGCGACTTGCTGCTGTCGTCCACCTCGCCGCACATCATGGTGCCCCACATGTTGGTGCTGGAGCTGCTACTGCTGCTGCTACTGCTGCTGCTGCCGTTGTGGATGCTGTGGTGGTGGTGGGCGTTGAGCTGCTGCTGCTGCTCGGTCATCTTGAAGGCGAGCAGCTTCTCAGAGTGCAGGGTGTTGAGGGTGCGCAGGTCGGGCACCTTCTTCATCAAGTCGTGCACGATGTGGTTCTGGCCCGGGTGGTTCTGACTGACGACCACCTGCAGGGCCTGCTTGAGCTTGTTGTGCATCCTCTCGACCAGCTCGGTGTTGCGCAGGCCTGGCCGGTCGGGGGCGACCACCACGATGGAGCAGAACAGGGCGATCTCCGCGTCCGAGAGCCGCAGCGCGTTGAGCCGCTCGGCGAAGTCGAACATGGAGTCCATGAGGAAGCGCGCGTTGCTCGAGTTGTGCACGCTCTCGCGCTTGAGCACCTGCCCGTTGAGGCAGACCATGGAGTTGGTCTGGCCGTCGAACAGGCACGCCAGGCGCACCAGCAGCACCTCGAACACGCCCGCCTTGAGCAGGGTGACCTGGTCGTCCTGCGCCAGGTGGAGGAAGCCGGGCAGCTTCTTGGCGAACTCGACGACGCCGCGGATGGCGGGGGAGAAGCGCTTGCTGAAGTCCTGCAGCAGCTCTTGCTGGCCGGACAGCGGCACCGGGTTGGGGTTCAGCGGGCACGTCTGCAACAACAACAAGAAAGCCTCGGTCAGTCGAAGAAAGTGACTCGCCTGCCCCGCCGGCCAGGGCCCTGCCTTGCCCTGCCGAACCGGATCGAGACCATCAGGCCGGCCTACCGGCCAACGAAAGTGAATGAGCATCCGACCCGAAGGCGTCCCGAAGGCGTCCCGAAGGCGTCCCGAAGGCATCCCGAAGGTCAGGGCAAGTCTTGCCCGACCTAAACGCCGCGCTTACTTGGCGACATGAACGTCTATTTTTACCCCGCAGCCGGCTGATGCCTGGCTGATGCTGAACGACCGTTCTGTCGTCCCCTCTCTCTCGCGCGGCTGCGGGCCGCCCCACGAGTGCGAGAGAGACCGCGAGTGAGGCGCGCAGCCTCGCCGCGGAGAAAGGTGTTTGATTCGACCTTGCGACGCACCGACTGCCGTTAGCCGCTCGGCTTTCCAGTTACGCCCCGGAAGCGACGGCGGGGCAGGCAGAGAGATGAGACTGCGTCCTTCGGCGTTTCCGCGCGGAGGCTTGGCTTCACGCGAGTCAACTTAGCCGCGAAAAGCGCAAAGCGGCTAGGAAATCCTGTCGGCTTATCGCTGCCTCGCCTCGCTGGCTCCTCGCAGGCTTTCCTCGAAAGCGGTCCGTGACTAACGCTGCACCCGCGCAATGGCTTCGGCCGACTGTACAGGCGCGACCGTTTGGCGCTTGGCGCCGGGCCCAAGGCGGCGGCTCGGACTTGGCAGCGCCGGGCCGCGAGGCGTGTCCCAAACCAGAGATGACCTAACCCTCTATTCCTCTAGCGGGCGCGCGGCGCGCCTACCGGGGCGACGAACCCGCACTGTTAAAACGGCTGAGCGTTGAACCCGGGCCAGTACTACTCACCAGGGTGGGCGGGCAGGCGGTGTAGGAGGGCTGCTCGCGGGCGCGGGCCAGCATGGGCTCCACCTTCTCGCGGGTGAAGTCACACGTGTCGAGGTGGGCGCGCACCACCGTGCTGAACAGGGCGGACTCGTCCTCCAGCTCGGCGGCCACGGCCTTCTCGGCGGACCGCGAGTTGGAGCTCTGCTGCATGGCGGCCAGGATGCGCGCCTTCTCCCGCTTTGGCACCCGCCCGAATCTCACGGCTGCAACAAACAAGAGACGCGACACATGAGTACACTGTCAGACTGCCGCAAAGGTGGCCGACGACGCGGCCGGTGCGCGCCAATGCATAACCAGGTCAATCCGCGCGTAAATCAGCCTAGACACCTGGGGATTCTTTTTATCCCATTCTTTGGGGGCGACTTGTATACGAGGGTTCTGTCGGCACCGCCCCGGTCCCCGGACGGACCGCCACACCGCCCGGGGCACAAGACGAGCAGCCTGGGGCCTGGCAGTGGCCTGGCCGGGCGACGCCGGCCGGCCGGGAAAGTAGGTCAGTCCCCGGCCACGGCGGCAAGCACGGCGGCCACTCGGCCAGACCGGGCCCCAGGATGCACCGGGCGCAGCGGCGCAGCGACGCAGCGCAAGACGGTCCAGTACAGTACCGCACATAACGAGAGCTGCAGACTGAGGAAACTGCTCGTCAGACCGAGGGGCGCGAGGGGCGCGGGGTGGGGTCCTCGCCGAGGACGCACAAGTGCCCCTCCGCCACGCCGGCCACGCCCCGTCTGCTTCCGCCGGCCTGCTCTGTGCGGCCTGCGCCGCCGGCCTGCCCCGGCCGGGGTGACTGACTTCCGGGCACACGCGCGCGTCTCAGGTCTCGCGTCTCGCCAGGTGCAGGCCGGACGGACCAGACGACCAATTATACCCAGTGCATGAGGGCACCGGGGAGGCGGCGCGGCGGCGCAGCTCGGCCGGTGCAGGCGGGCAGGGCAGGCCAAGGCCCCAGACGCCATTACCATCACAAAGCACCAGCGTCCTTGGGACTCCCTTCCCTCCAACGGCCGGCCGGGCACGCCGGCACGCCGGGCCGCAACGGTCGAGGGGAGTGGCGAGGCGGTAGGGGAGGCTCGGGAAAGAGGGCGACGCCGGGCACGTGCGCGCCGACACCTGGTCGCGCTGGTCGCGGACAAGGACCCCGTCGAGTTCTAACGAGCTCGCGGCTCAGACACCACCTTGTCTCTGCTCCCCGTTGACCGGGTCGCAGTGCGTGCTGCGCGCCGTTCTCGGAGCCCTATCGGCTATTGCCTGGCGAGACAACAGGAAGAGGAAGGCGAGTGTGTCGCGGCTTATCAGGCAGACCGCAAGTCAGGGCCAAGCGGCCGAGGCGCGGCGACGCGGCGACCGTCAGCCACGCCAATTTCACTTTCGGATTAAAAGAAGAAGTAGAAGGCGATATAAAAAGCCAACCCTCGTCCCGGCGGCGCGGCGGAGGCCAGGCGGCAGCTGCACGTCGAGCGGCCAGGAGTCATCGCCCCGACTTGAAAGCGAGAGCGAGAGGGAAGAGAGAGGGAAGGGAAGAGAGAGCGCACCGGCCGCAGCCATGGACGCGGCGAGCAACGCGGGCAGCGCCCCGCCCCCTCCACCTCTCTCACTCTCGCTCTTTAGAAAGTTCAACTGGAGTGGTGAACCCGGCGCGGACGCGCGGACGCGCGGACGACGGCGACCTCCCTGACCCGCGCGGTCCGCGTCGAGCAGGCCGCGAAGTGCCTGAGCACGGCGCGCAACCCGCGCAACAGTTGTGCGGGCGCGCGACGCGGGCGACGCCCTCGGCCCCGCGCACACGGTCAACGACCCGGCGTCCGCGGCATCCGCGTCGCGGCCCGCGACGGCCACGGTCACCGCGCCAAGTCCCCCGAACCGCGAAACCCATGGAACCGCAGAGTTTCTTTCGAGAGGATTTAGACTAAGTCGCCCGCGCGCAAGGCGAGGGCGACGTCGAGACTCCCTAGAGATACCTACGTGCATTGTGGTAGTTGACGACCCCGTTGAGGATGCCTTTGAGGATTGGTAACTCGTCCCCCATTGTATTCCAAGGTAATCCAAATGGGCGAATATCACAGGCAGTCACTTTCACTAACGTTATTTCACTAGACGTGATTTTGGTATGGCACTGAAGAGTGGGCTTGGCTATCACACTTCACAGATGAATAGATTCACACACTAGTCGAGGCTTGACACCTCGGATTGCACACTGTTGCACTGATCACACACTGATGGTAATCCAAAGTAGGCGCAGATCAGAATGTCGTCCGTTTGGTATCCAATTTGGTATCCAGGAGAAATTCGCTCTTCCGCAGGTGATGTAGGGACAGCGAAGCGGGCTGGTACGGCATAGCCACTGAGACCGGCTCACATTTAGCGCACGACAGTCAGGGCTCGACTCGGTAGACTCGGTACGGGCTGTAGCGGGCGGACGTGCGTTCGCCGCGCTGCATTCCCCACGACTGCCGGCCCAGCGGCGATGCCCGATGCCGGCGCGGCGGGGGGGCAGGGCCGGCCGGGGCAGAGCCGGCTCTCTCTCCCGCGCAAGCAGACGACGCGCGCTTCGGGCGGCTTCGGCGGCCGCTCGGCTGCCGCTCGGGCCGCAAGGCCGCGCCGGGGCCCCCTGGGCGCGCTGCCCCCTCCCCACGGCCCCACCGGGCCCCACGCGCCACGCCTAACCTTGAACTTGCCTCCGTCTGGCTGCGCGCGGCGCGGCACGCCATGGCACGCCACGCCAGCACCGCGACAACCACAGCTAGAGCAACAAACTTCCCGGACGTTCGGTGCTCCCGCCTGCCCGACACACCCTCAAGGTGGACCCGAGCCGAGGCTCCCAAAAATCGATGGGCACCAATTGGGGGCCGTCAGGGGAAGGGGGCCCACTGTGGCCCACACGGGAAGTCCTTGGGGCGTCTATTTCGCGCAGCACGGTGACGTCGTAGCGGCAAGGCCTGGCCTGAGGCCTGGCCCACGCCATGTCGCCGACGGCCTTGTCCTTCGCCGTCCTGCCGCCCTGCCGTCGCCCTGCCGCCCTTCGCTCACTTCCGCGCCCGGTCCACTTGCCACTTGACTGCCTCCACGAGATTCGCCAAAACGTGCGCGCCCTGGACGGGGCCTGGACGGGGCCTGGACGGGGCCCCAAAGCCCACGAGTCCCAAAGGACCTTCAAAAATCATTCAAGTCAGATTCGTTGGGACGCCAAGTTCGATCAAACTTGAGCAGACACACTGCTCCGGCCGCCACGCGGGCGCTGACGCAGTGCTTGTGACACGTCCCATAAGGCCGTCGCCAGGCGCGAGGCCGCCGCAGGCACTGTACAGTGTACCCGCGAGCCTCACGTCGCATAGAGACAGCGCTTTCAGGAAATGTCCCAAGGTCTCGCCTCTAAAATCAATTTTGAGCAGGGAGGAGCTAAGCGGCGCGCGAGCCGGGCCGGGCGTCACAGAATACGTAAAATGTTGTTACGTCGCGTGGCGGCAGTGTGGCGGCAGTAGCGACGGCGGCGGCGGCGGCCTGCACCGAGTTCGGCGCTCCGCCGCTAGGTGGCAGCACGCGCCTCGCGCGCCGCCAGCGCCACGCGGCCCGAGCGGCGAGAGCGCCAACCTCGCTCCCCCTCCACTGCGGGTTCGGCGCCCGACCCGAGCCGCTCCGAAGCCGTCCCGATGCCGGTCGGCCGCCACTCTGTACGACTCGGGTGTCGCAAGGGCCAATGCCCCCGCAGCCGCACCGCACAGTGCACCGCACCGCGTTGTCTGGCCCACTGGCCTGCAGCCTGCACCACGCACTGCACTTTCTCGTCAATGAATGGAAATGCGGTAAATGAAATCCAAAGCCGATTCAAGTCACTCGGCGCTGCTGTATGCCATTTCCATGGGAACGACGGCGTCCTGGAGGCGACCCGCGGCCGTCATCGTCATCCTGGCACACCAGGACCTGCAGAGCCACGGCACTGCCACGGCCGGCACCGCGACGAGACGCTCCCCGAGGAAAGTAAGAGTGGCGTCACTTTCTCAGGGGCTGCTTGCTTGGCTTGTTGGTCCAGGGCCTAAGTGGCACACTGATTTCTCTGAGGGCTCGTCCACTGCCGCGCTGCCGCCCGCCCGCCGCGCAGGGCCCAGCGCCGCGCCGCCCCGCCAGGGAAACACTTTCACTGCCTCGCCGTCCTGGCCGTTCACCTTGCGAGGCGCGGTCGTTCACCGCGGGGCGAGATCAGCAGGCGGAGGGGGTCCTTGTCGTCGGCCACCGTCAACGGCAGGCCACGTCGCCCTCAACGGCCACGTCACCGTCAACGGCCAGGTCACCGTCAGCGGCCAGGTCACCGCAGGTCACACCGCCAACGGCCAGGTGGCCGTCAAAGACTAGGTGGCCGCCTACGGGCAGGTCGCCGTCATCCACCCAGCCGGTGCTTGGTGTAAGATCGAGCAGTGCGGTGGACAGGAGCACGGAGCCACGAAAGGAAAAGTTGATCCGCGGCTGCAGCCGCTGCAGCACGTGGCCCGGATGGCCCGGATCCAGGTCCCTGACTCCGTGCACTCCGAGCACTCCCTCCGTGACTCGGGCGGATCTCTTTGGGTCCAGCGCGGCGAGGCTGGCGAGGCGGCGGGCGAGCGCGGCTTTCCCGTGTCATTGTTGAGGCACTCTCGCTCTCGGCGAGGGAGAAAGCGAAGGTGGCGAGGCACGGCGAGGTCGTCGACTTGGCCTACTGAGGCACAAGGCGGCTGTGGCGGTGGCGGTCCGGCCTCGCGAAAAGCGAAAGTGCCTCAACCCGACCGACTTGGAGTTCAGCAGCACCTCCCCGGTGACGTGCATCTTGCAACGGCCGTCCCCTCCACCTCCCCTACGCCCTGCAGGCGGCCTGCAGGCGGCGCGCGCGGTGCGCCTGGAAGGCCTGGACGGCCTGGAGGGGATCGAGTCCTCGAATTTCACCGCGCGGCCAGCGACCCGGCCTACCCCAAGCCGGGGGGGCAGCCAGCCAGCCGGGAAAGTGAGAGTGCATTAGGGCCCGGGGCTGGGACGGCCAGCCCGGGGCGGGCCAAGGAGCAGGCGAAGCTCTCCCGGGGCGTCGCGGCGTCGTGGCGTCGCGGCGGCCGTGCCCGGGCAGGTGGCAGTAGGTCGGGCCAACGACCCAGCTCAGCCTCCCAGTCGCGCCGCCAGCCAGGCGCGGCGCCCCGCCGCTAGGCCAGGGGCGTTTCGTAAACGCGCGTCCGGGCCGCGCCTGGCGGGCCGCGAGATTTGGGTAACCGCGGATCCGTGGAGGCCGTCGAGGCGGCGGAGTCGGTCGGCGAGGTGCTACACTGCCAGTGACACTGCAAGTGGCACTACACTGCCCTGCAGCGCGCCCTTGCGGCCCTTCGGCCCTTGCGACACGTCCCCGATTTACGTCACCGCCGTCCCTCGGCCGCCCTCGGCCCAGCAGGTGCATTGTGAAAACGGCCAGCAGCCTCGGGTCCCGGGTTCAAACACCCGCGCAACAATCATCCACTGTCATCCTTATTCATTTTTTTTTTCGCGGCCCCGCGCGCACGCGCACGCACGCACTGACCGTGAGCGCCCCGCGGCGGGCCGGCCGAGCAAGGGCCTCGACACGGTTTGGCGTGGAAGGACACAAGCGCGACGTAAAATGGACCAGCCCAGCCCCTCCCCCCGCCGCAATTGACCAATCACAGACGGGCTGTGCTGCGCGAGCACCGAGTCACACTTCTAGAGCAGCCAGCGCAGCCGCGCGGCCAGGCGGCCGTGAGGTCAACGAACGCTATACGAGTCACGGCTGTGTGGCTGCGGCCTGGGCTGTGACCTACAAACGGACCGCCGGGAACAGCGCGTGCGAGGGAGACGGAGAGACAGAGCGCGGTGGGGGCCTTCGGGGCCTTCCGAGGATCGATGCCCCGGTGCCGCGGCCTAAACGGGGAAATCGGCGGCCGCCTCAAATGAAATCATCATTGTGTGAGTGCGTGCGAGGGAGAGCGAGCGAGAGGTCAGGCGCGCTGGCCGGCGAGAGCGAGAGAGAGGGGCAGCGTCCGCCGCGTGCGCGTTACGCAAGGCAGTGAGAGTGTGGTGGTGTTACGATACACGCGGGGCAACTTTCAAATGGCCAAGCAGCGCGAGCTGCCGAAGCGGCGGAGCGGCCGTAGCGCACGTCACTCACACACTCTCGCGGCCGCGCGCGTGTGTGCGTGCCAGAGTCAGAGGGAAGGGGGGGGGGGAGAGCGCGCGTGTCTGTCTGTGTGCGAATGTGTGTGTGTTACGGAACGGAGGTGACCCACTCCGCGGCAGCCTTGGCGCTCAGTTCAACAACCTCTTGCCCGGCTTGTGCGGCGCTTTGCAACCGGGTCGCGGGGAGGGGGGAGGGGGGGGGGAGCGTCGTCACCAGGCCGACCAGCAAGCACGGCGCACGGCCTTCTGACGTCCCATCCGCGGAAAGAACAAATACTGCCCCACCCTCGACCCCCGAAAAGTTTCTCAAAACTCTAAAGTTCTCAAACGAAGGCCCGTGCTGAGGCTCGTCGTCGCGGACTTGCAGCCACAGCGGACTCGCTGGAGAAACTCTTCCAGTGGCTCTCCCCAGGCCGGAGCGGGCTGGAGGGCCTGGAGAAGGGAGACGGTACAACGACCTTACGGCCCCCCTCCAGGACTCCAGGCGCCGCGGTCGGTCACCACTCCGGGACCGTGCTCTCATTCGAGCTGCCCCCTCTCCCTCGTCCTTGTCCCGCGGCCGCCGTCTCCGTCTCCCTCTCTCTCGCTCCCCGTTCCCAATACGCGATGCCGCAACTGGAGTCAACAAACCTTGCCGTGTCTCCACCGCCGCGGCGGCGGTAACGAGGCTGCGCGGCCGCGGGGAAGGGGGGGGGGGGGGGGGGGGGCGCTCGGCGGGGCGCGGCCGCGGCGCCCCAAATCGGGGCCGAAAAAAAAAAACGCGCCGGCGAGACGGGACGCGAAACCGCTTTCCGCCAATGCCAAGTTTGCAGGGAGAGGAAGCGTGTCGAAACACACACACACGCGCACGAACGCACGGAGAGGGTCCTGGTGCCGAAGGACATAACACCCGCCCGCACCGCCAGAAGAACACAGTCCTCACTTTCTTCGGCGGGCAGGCCAGGCCAGGCTTTAGCGCGACGGCGAATTACTAATTCAAAGTCCCGTCCCCGATTCGAACGGCTGTCGAAACGGGACGCGCGGGTTAAATCCAGCACAATCTATGAAAAATTTCGCGACCCGCTCAACGACGGGCGGCGGTGGCGGCGGCACCAGTTGCTCGCGGTGGTGGGGGTGGAGTGGGGCGTAGCGGAGCGCGGCAGGGGGAGGGGAGGGGGTATGATATAACTCGTAGTGGGGCCGAGGCTGCGCGAGGGCAATGCTCCCGTGAGCCCATGAGGCCGCCCCGCCGCCCCGCCGCCCTCGAGAAGGAGGGCACGTCGGCCTAGGGCTGGCCGCGGGCTGGCCGCGGGTTGGCCGCCATTCTCGCCGTGTTCGCGGCTGGCCATGAGATGAAGTACCCATCGGCCGGAAGATACTCGACTCGGACCATAGATTTTGAATCAGCCAAGGCCATTATCAAACCCAGAAACCCAGAGGAAAATCTTACTTAAAAGGTAAAGATAAGAAGGATGGAGGACTCACCGTCTCTGCTCATGCCGACGGCGATGCACTTCTTGAGGCGGCAGTACTGGCACCGGTTCCGGTTGATCCTCAAGATAGAGCATTGCTGGTTCTTGGTGCACGGCCGGTACTGGATCTTCTGCTGGATGGACCGCCGGAAGAAGCCCTGTTCGGAGGCACAAGAACACGGCGAGGAGTCAGTGGCGTTGTCCGAGGAGGCGGTGGGCGATGGTGGGCAGGTGCAGCGGGACGGCGGCCTGCTCGGGGGGCTGCTCGGGGGGTTGCTCGGGGGCGACGACGGCCTGTCCGAGGCCTGCGCGGGGGCGGCGGCCTTGGCGGCGGCCGTGGCGGTGGCCGTCGAGGGCCCCGCCTCGTCCTCCAGGTCCACGACGGGCACCTGCTTGTTGTTGGCCACGACCATCTCGTTGAGCCACAGCTGCAGCTGTCGCAGCTGCAGCTCGCCCACCTGGGGCGCGGAGGGCAACTGCTGCTGGGCGGCCATCGGCGGCGCCTTCAAGTGCTGGTGCAGCAGGGATTCGTTACACGTGAGCACAGCCATTTTGTCGTCACAGTCACAACACCATCACAGAACTTGTCACACACAAACACACACTCGCTGCACCACTGTCACGACAACGGGCGGCACAAACACACACACAAACGTCCGCTTGCCTCGCGGGCCAGACTTGGACTGACTGGGTCCCCTAGTGGGCGCGCTGGCGCTGCGCTGGTGGGGCTGGCCGGGGCCTCGGCGGCCGTGCCGAGCGCAGCCGAGCCCGAGAGAGAGCGGAGCCGAGCGCGCGGGGCGGGCCGCGCGTGCGAGAGAGACGCCGGCGACGGAGGTTGTTGACCGCGGGCCCCGAGTGGGGCGGTGGGGGCCGCGGTGGGGACCGCGGTGGGGGCCGCGGCACGGTTACAGTTAGGCTGTGCTGACCCACTTCGGGGTCGTTTGCCCGCGATCAACGCGCCGCCACCCCGTACGTGTGGGGCTGGTGCCCGCACACACACTCACACATCGCGGATCATGTCAGCGAGCACATCGCGCGAAAGTAAGAGTGCGGGATCGCGCGGCTTCTTCGTCCGATCCGCTTGGCTTCGGAAACAATAAAAATCCGCGAGGAGTGAAGTGAGTGTGTTGCACGTTCCCCGCGTTCCACGCGCCGCGCCGGTTACCGCACGGCCCTCAGCACGGCCGCGACGCCGCGACGCCGCGACGCCGCGGACCACTTGGCGCCCACTTCCGGAGCCTACAGTGCAGGGCCGCCGTCGGGGAGCCCGGGGAGCCTACAGTGCAGGGCGGCGGGGTCGACGGCCTCGAACCTTGAGGCCGCGCCGCCGCCCCGCCGCCGCGCCCTCTCCCTTTGAGGGCTATGCCGCCCTCGCGGCCCTCGCCTGCTGGGGCTTCGCGATGCTTCGCGTAGCCTCGCGCCAGGCGCGCCAATCAAGCGCCGCCCCCTACCGCGAGGCTAGAAAGTTCCGGAAGGCGACGCGAGGCGGGAGAAAGGGCGGCCCCACTGGAAGGGACGGCCGCAGCGCCGAAAAGGCGAAGACAGGCGAAGCGCCGCGACTCTGACTCACGCGCCCCAATTTCTCGGCGCGTTTCGCGTTTGTGACTCACGCCGCGCGCCGCGCTCGCGGATTCGGAGTCTCATTCACAGTGGCGCGGCTTCGCGGCTCATTGAGGTGAAGCGGTGTTGTTTTGGGGCGTGCCGGCCGAGGCCAGGCCGCGAGGTGTTACCCAACCAGGCCGACCACGCCACGCAAGGCGTCGTCGCGTCGTCGCGTCGCGCGGCCCAACCGGACCCGCCGGGTAGGCCGGCAGGCGCCTCGCCAGCCTCGCCTACCGGATGAGGCACACGTCACATGCGCGGCCGCACAGTGGGCCAGAAGACCGGCGGAGCCGGCCAGAATCCCGAACGCATTTTGAGCCCCCGCTAAATGGGACTCGAGCCGAGCATGTGACCCCACCAATGGACTGCGCTCCGAACGAGGAATCCATTGGTGGGGTCACACGTTCGGTTCGCGGCCCATCTGGAGCTCCCTGGCGGTCCCCTGTGCGGGGGGGGCAGCGCTGGAGCGCTTGCCACCCCCAAAGCTGGCTGGTGAACTCATCTGACCCCGGCGGGGCCCGGCGGGGGAAGGGGAGGGGGCGCCGCGGGGGGGTTGGGGAGGTCAGCGCTCGCTCTACATCCGTGCAACACCCCGGGTGCAACACCCTCCGGGGCACCGCGCCCCTCCCCCGCCCCCCGCTGGCGTCGCTAGCGTTCATTGCCCCGGCGTGCCCCGGCGTGCCCCAGCAGCAGTGCAGCGCCATTGAGCCGTTCCGAGAAGCACGGCCAGCGCGGCCACAATGAAGGGCCATGCAGGTTTGCACGCCACGGCACGCCACGGCACGCCACGGCACGCCACCGAGGCACGCCACCGAGGCACGCCGGGGAGAAGGGAGCAAAAACACGACCGAACGGACAGAGGGACAGAAGAAAGCAGAGCAGAAGGTCCCTGCACCAGGAACGAGAACGACGACACGGCGACACCGTGGCGACCGCTTCGACGAACCGCCGGCTCGCCGCGCGTTCGGTACCTCTCGATAGCTGGTCCGATACCCGCGGCCGGAGCGTCCGGGGCCCGCTCCCTTCGACGCGGACGCTGCGCGCTCCGCGGCCGCCCAGTGAAGGCCCTCTCCTCGGCCTGGCGAAAGTCTTCCCTGAAGCGGACCAGCGCGTTGATGCGATTACCCGGGACCACGGCGGTCCGCGCCACTGTCATCGCGAACAAAGCGTTGGCGTCGGGGGTGGTCCTCCTCGCCGGCCGCACAGAGCCGCACGGCCACGCCAATGACTGTGTGAAAACCGGCAGACTGGCTCCGAACAGGCTCCGTCTCCCTCGCACTCGTGGGGGTGGCCGCGGGGTGCGAGGGAGACAGAGGCGCGGTCCGGAATGGCCCTGCCGCCCTGCGGACGGACAAAGAGGCCACCTTTTCGCTAATGGTTCTTCCGTACAGCATCGGCAGCATAGACCTGTCAGGACGCCGTCAGCCTGCGGTTTTCGTGTACTCAGTGGCTTTGTATGACTTTGCGTGCGTTTTCGCCGAAGGGCCCAACCCTTGCAGTGGCTTCCAGTCTCAACAAACTCGTCATCCCTTCGCGGTAAAGGCCTGCTCTGTCTCTCTCGCACCCCGACGGCGCGGCCCGTGAGTGCGAGAGAGACGGCGCCAACGCCAGCAAGTGCATCGCAGCCTGTCACACACGTGAATGGGGCGACCGAAACGGGGTCACTTTTTACACGGGTCCATTGTCCCGGGGGTGAAGGACGAAGAAGGCGCGGTGAAGGGATGGGGGACAAAGCCCGCACCTTGTGCCTGCACTGCAACAAAGTCAACCTTCCTGGAACACCTCCAGGCCCGGCCCGCCTGGATTCCCCCCACCCCACCTCCCGGGCGTGATGGGTTCAGTGGCCTATAAAAGCGCAGCGTCCCCCCGGGACGGCCCCGCTGCAGCAGCAGTGTAGCAGCAGCATCGCGAAAAACAAAGACGACGGCGATGCCGGATAACTCGATACGACAACGAGAATGCATCGACATGCCTTTCGAGAGAGCGCGCGAGACACAAATCGCAAACGACGAAAACAACGACAGGGGCTTAAATGGAGCCGCGCGCTGCTCCGCTGCAAGGAGGACACTCGGGGTCGTCGACCGCAGCGCGGCGTGGCGGGGAGGGGGAGAGAGATAGCGGGCGAGGACGGCGAGCGAGCGAGAGAGAGGGGAGGGGAGGGGCATGACGTAACGTTCGATGACGGTGCGTGGAGGCGAGGGGGGGGGGCTCGGTCTAGTTCAGTGCGGGGTGAGTGCACTGCACCTGGCCGCCTCGCTGCCAGCATTATTTCGGTGCATTTCGGGTCAGCGCGCGCAGCACACTGCCAAGAAGAAAAACTCAGTTTGACTCGAGTATTTCCGCGCGGTGTTCATTCAGTTATTTGAACTACGCGCCTTGCGGAGATTAACTTGATTCGGGTGGTTTCGACTCGAGTTTCCCCACGGTGTGGGGGTCAGTGACTCCCGCCCGGAAACGAGTGCTGCCCGGCGCAGCCGCCACGACCCGCGCTGCTCTCGGAGAGCTCGGAGAGCGGCGTGATCTAGTTCGGCCGCTATCGGCTCGGCCGGGTCGGCCCGTGTGGCGAAGGCCCGAAAGGCGGTGGAGGGCCGACCTTAAAACGGGGCCCGCTCCGCGCTGTCTCCGCCCTATCGCCCAATCTGGGGCACGACGGCACGACACATGCATATGTAGCGACGAGCAGGGGCATGTCCACCGCGATAGTCCAGCAGGACTCCAGAGGCGGCTGCCTGCCCGGCGGGACTGGCGGAGCTGGCAGGCAGCGGGACGGCCCACAGGGCGATAACCTCGCCTCGTGTCGTAACGCTCGCCACTGCTTGGCCGACCTACTTTTGACTGGCGGGCTGGTAGGGCCTGGGCGGGCCTGGGCGGGCCGAGGCCTCGTAGGCCTGCCTGCCGCGCTGCCTGGGGTCAGGCCCCTCCCCCTCCACTCGCGACGCCTCCCCCTCCCCCTTTTCGCTCGCGAGGTCGCCCGATCCGCCCCCGCATCCTCGGGGTCCTTCAGATCCTCGAGGACGCGAGCCACTCCGCCACTTGACTTGGTCAGTGTCGCGAGCCGCAATTACAACGGCCTCCGAAAAAAAGAGACGGCGAAAAAGAAGCGAGAAAGAAATCGGCCTTGGCGGGGATTTGAACCCGCGCCAACAAGTACAGCCTCCGGTGTACACACTCGCGTTCCGCAAGGTGGGAGACGGAGAGAGAGGGGTGAACGAACCACAATGCAGGTCAAGACAAACCGTAGAAGTCGAACGGCCCCCGAGCGCGACGACGCCAGCGACGGCAGCGCCCTCTCGACTTTAAACGGTCTAATAGACTGCGCCTGTTCACCTCGGCAGGCCGCGCGTGACAGCGTGGCGCGGCGCAGCAGCCGCAGCGTGCGAATGGAGAACAAGGTCAAATACGGCAGCGAAACGCGCCGGACCAACTGACGAAACCAACATGGCGGCCAGTCGCTGCACTCTGCGGAGACCAGCTGGACAAAATACGGGCGCCTTTTGAGCTCCAGGACTCGAACCGAACGTGTGACCCCACTGATGGATTCCTCGTTCGGAGAGCA